AATTTTTTTTTTTTTTTTTTTTTTTTTGTACCGGGGATCAAACTCGAGTCCTTAAATCTGCAGCCCACCCCTTCTAGAATATTAAACCTTTGTTCCGCTTGTTTCTGACCTTTATAAACAGCAGCAAAGTAGCAAGCCTTAGTCCTTTTTGGCTGCTTTAGTGGAAGAAAAACAAATGCTCAAAGCCCAGAAAAAAACGTGACCTCGTCTTTGAGAACAGCTGGAGAGGGACAGTGGGTTGATGAAGGGTGACTGCAGCCAACTGAGGAGTGAGTGTGGCCCCAGGGGGTGAGAACTCGCCCTGTCCCCAGGCTGTTGCCTCCTTGAGCAGGATCCTGCCGGAGTGTGTTGTCCCTTGTGTCACAGTTGTCCGAACACAGTCCAGCAAAGGAAGTATTTTCCAAAGATAAAAGGCCCTCATTGGAGACAGTGGTAGGCTCCCAGGCCCTGCAGGTCTAGGTAGGCACAAAGGTAACAAGCCCCACATGGCTGTTGCAGAGGGAGTGAGCAGGGATCTGTGCTTGGACCCCACCAGATGACTTGGAGCTGTTCCAGACTCCTGGTTCTGTGACTCCCTTCCACTCTTGTTCCTGGTCCCTAGCTCCTTTTTTTCTCCTTTATTTCACTAACATTTTCTAGCCAGAGTCCTAGCATCTTCTTTATGAAGCTTTTAATAATTTTCCCTGCCATATCCTTTTAAAAAGCAAAAGGTGAGGGGAAAACAGCATAGATGAGTAAACTCCACCTTATCTTCCCAGTGCTTCCTGCCTGTGACTCAGGACCATGTGCTTCTAGAGAGCAAGGTCCATGTCTCTCTCTCATGTCCACATCCCAGTGTCCTGGCCCTGGGAACCTGTTTGCAGAAGGAATGCCGAGGGAATTGGAGGAAGGGACAGTACACACCTGCAGGAGAGAAGTAGCCAGTGCAGGTCTGCTTAGAGTGTTGTGGGAACTGTTCCGTGACCCAAGAAGCCAGAGAAGTTTCTTTCTGTGTCATTGTGTGGTGAAAGTTTTAAAGCTCTTCAAAGATGTCATAACTTTCTCTTTTTCCTTTATAGCAAGCAACCCAGTGATAGCCGCTCAGCTCTGGTAAGTGCCCCAGACTCCGGAGTACAACTCCTAACTGTCATGTTTATTTGCTTTGTTGATTTTTTTTTCTTTAAAACAATTAAATCAGAATGAGTCACCTGATTTTTTTCCCCTTTTTCTGCTGCCTGCTTATACTGTCCTCCAGGCTTTCATAAGTACATAACAGAATGTTCCAAGGCTGTTTTTTTGGAAAACACAGATGCTCTATTTGAGTAATGTTGTGCTTTGTGTAGTGTGGCAGTGGATGATAAGGGTGGTCGGTATGTGTGGTGCACAATTTTTAATGGCAGGTCAGATGGTGATGGGGAAGGGAGGCCATGTTCACAGGCTGGAGCACAGGCTGGAGGGGAGAGCAGGGGCTGGGTTTGCGCCCTGTCACACAGGTGTCACATTCTTCCATGTCAAAGACATGAAATACCTGCCCTGAGATTCCTGCAGGAGAAAGAAGTTGTCGCAAGACTGCAAATCTCCAGCACAGGAGTCAGCAAACTTTCTGGAAAGGGTCAGACAGGAAGTTCTTCTGACTTCAGGCTGTGCTGTCACCTCCACAGCTGTTCAGCTCTACTGGGGTAGCTCCAAATCAGCCATGGACAATAAGAAAATGAATGAACATAGTTGCATTCTAATAAAATTTTATTCACAAACACCAGCAGGCCAGATTTGGCCCATAGAGGAGGGAAATGCAGCTTATTGTGCAGATGTTCTTGATCTTGCCTGTGCATTGAACTCACCCGATGAGCTCTAAATCGTCCCCCTCAGCAGCCCACATCCTGGGTCAAGCAGATGAGCTGTGGACAGGTGTGGAACCTAGGCTTCTGGTTTTCAAAGCTCCCCAGGTGAATCAGCCCAGGTGAGATCTACCATCCTTCCTGGCATATACCTCTCTCTATCTGTGAAACTACTGCTTTTCCTGTGTGAGTTTGGACTTGTTGGTGGACAGTTGTGCTATGAGAGAACCACAGATTTGAGTCACTGGGCCCTTGGTCCAGTCATTCCAGGCACGGTTCTCAAGGCTGCTGGGGAGGGCGGATTTGAGCTGGGCACACTCAGCAAGGACATTTGGCAGGCATGGCACGTGACGGTGAAGGATGTCTTAGGAACCCTCCCTCTGGCACTGCCTTTGCACTGACCCAGCTATAGGGACATCAACCTTCTTGCGGGGGGGGGGTCTCCCTTTTCTCATTTCCAAACAAGGAGACGGGCTGTTTCATTGTTTCCCCAACATTTTTAGTCTCTAATTTTCACACCCCAGAAGAACCCTGGAATATTGTAGAAGCCAGAGCAACAAAAGTGGAGCTACTTAGAGGAAGTTGAGTCTAGAGGGAAAGATCCAGCCCTTTGGCCAGGCCCTGCCCCGGCAGCTCTAAATCTTCAAGAAACATCAGCTTCTGGAGAACAGAATTAGCTTCTTGTGTCTTCTCATGTCTCAGAATTAGCTTCTCATGAGCACAGCCTTGTCTCTCTGGTTTCAAACTACATTGGCAGTGCCATTCTGCCTCTTGCTTCTGATTTTGTTGATTCTCGACATCTGAAGAAGGAACTCTGGGGTCCTGATGAACTACTCACTGTCTCTGCCCCCTGCAGTGGGAGGAAGTTGTAATGTGTCATGTGGGTTAGTTGGAGGTCTGCTGGTGTGTGTTTGTCTGGGATCTGTAGTATTCGCACCTTTCTTAGCCGGTTAGGTGTCTTGCTCTTAATTCTCAGGGAATTTATGAGCTATAGTTTCTCTTCTTTGCTCTTTTAGGAGGTGACTGTTTTGTTTGTATTTTCTTAATAAAATGACATTTTTCTTCTTAGCATCTAGTGGTTGGGAATGAAAACAAACAAACAAAAAATAAGCCCCTGTATACCCTTTAGGAACAAATGAGCTAATAACCGCCTTTCGCAGCTGTTCGATTGCTCTTCACAGCCTGTGGGATCCTGGGGTGAGCAAGATTGCTGTGGGAGCCTTGGATGAAATTGTGCTCTGGGCTGCAGAGGTGCTACCAGAAAAATGACACCTCACAGAGCACTTAAGCTACCTGATGAAATCCAGCCCTAGGTGCTGGCCCAGAGCCTAGTTTGGGTAGTACTAGCCCTATCCGAAAAATGAACACAGAGCCATTTAGACCCCAGGCAAGACTCCTTTAACAGTGACAGTTTCCTCTCGTTGCAAAAGCAATAAACCTCGATTTCAAGCACACCACCCTAGCAACAGTGATTGCCCAGTGGTTGTGCCATGTTTGTGGTTTTAATTTATACCAAGCTGCTCTCTCCTTCCTTTCCCACTTTGGGAGAGTAGTTCTATCAAAATAGGACCATCCGCAGGAAGCTCTGTCAACCTTTTCACAGAACCTTGGAGAGCTGGCTTATGTTGGTGAAAGAAGATAGGCTTTGGGGTTGAGCAGATGTTCAATCCAACCCCGGCTCTGCCATAACCTAGCTGGGTGACCCTGAGTAGGTTTCCTAATTCACTGTTAGGCAACTATTCCTTTATCTAAAACGAGGTGCTGGGAAACACATAACCTCACAGACTTGTGGTGTGTGGATCAAAGAGTGACAGATGTGAAGTCCTCAGGACAGAGCCCTGTGTGAACCTGCCACGGTGGTAGTCAGACCTTCAGTGGCCCACATCTGGTTCCCCGAGTGCCTGAGGGGAGTTGTCCAGAGTGTCGGTAAATCTCTCCGGCTGGAAGAAACTCTGCACGTGGCCAAACTTCCTAGTGCTGTAGGGCTGCCTCATACTGCCGGGGCGGGCCTGCAGTGGGAACTGAAAGGACTCCCCTTCTGCCCTCAAATATGACATCACAGCTGCATTTTGAAATGTCACCTTGTGTTTGTATTTGTGATCTTGAAAGTGATAAATGAAAGTTGCTGTTTCTGAAATAAATCCACAGTGTGGCATTCTATAAAGTTACAATTTCTTTCTTTCAGCTCTAAAACAAATCCTGAAGTCCATAATTACCAGGTGAGATCCTACTTTTAAACGTTTTCTTAAAGCTTTAAATTTTCCACAATGAACAGTCTTTAGATTTTGAAGAAATGGTACATGTTTTTTGAGAAAATGATAAGAGACTCCTTTCTTCCTTATCCCTGCTTCCTCTTGGTCATCAGAACTGATGTTTTGCTTCACCTTGTCAACTGGCAGGCATCGGGGACATATGTTTAAGTTTCTAGGTGGTGAAACATGATCTCTTAGTGGTGTACAAGTGAGCCAGCTTTTCGGTGAAGTGTGTCCCCGGCCTAGCGAACACAAGTCCCTGGAAACATGCCTTCAGGAGAGAATGTTTTGGTCAAATGTTTGGGAATATTGCATCCTTCACTCCCCTCTTGGATTTACAGTGCCCACTGGGATGCAGAAGTACTAAGAAATCCTGTAAAAGTGACATAGGATTTTTCTATCCAGCATTTCTCAAAATTGTTTGTGTATTGACCCCTCCTACCATCACAAACTAGCCTCGCCACCTCTCCACAGCTGTTAAAATCAGTATAGCAGTGCTTTCTAGAGCCCACTTTCTAAAACCCGTTACCTGCAGAAGGAGCGTGGGTATGATTCCACAGCTCATCTTCCCTCTCGTAAGATCATGCTGGCCGCCTGCCTGTCCACCCACTGCCAAAGCCTTTGGTAGCACAGAAACCTCCGCCTGGCCAATAAGCCCCTCCTAAGCCTCTGTGGCTGGCTCTCTGGCCACTCACAGCCTTCTGTGCCCTGCTCTAATTCATCTGCATCCATTTCTTAACACTCATTATATATTGTGTGTTCAGCTCATCAAGAATTGCATAAATGTTTTCCCTTAGTTTCTTCCTGAGGTTCCTCGCTCATGCCCGTCTGTTTGGAATACCTTTGCCTCCCATCTGTATACTAAAATGCCCTCCTCCTGATCCTCACAACTGGAAGCCACTGACTCAGGAATTCTCAATTCTGAACTGTTAAAACCATCTAAGCAAGATTTTAAAAATGGTTAGTGTTGGGCCTAATCCCGGAAAAGTGAACAGAAACTAAAGCTTGAGCTCTCCCAAGGTGCTCTCATGAGCAGCCAAGGGTAGGACCCTGGACAGAGGATGGGCACATTGTTTCCCAGGCGGTCATTTGTTACTGCAAGCTTCCGTGTCTGCTGACTTGTAACTTGGCACCACATATTAGTCATCTTGTCTGTTGCTATAACAAAATACTTGATGCTGGGCACCTTATAAGGTGAAAAGCAGTTCATTTAGCTCACAGCATTGCAGGTTCAAGAGCATGGTGCTGACCTCTGCTCAGCTCTGGTGAGGGTCTTCTGGAAGATGGTATCTCAATGGTGGGGCGAGTATGGAAGGAGAGATCAGTATCGTGTGGCAAGACAGGTGGCCAGGTTGAGAGGCAGGGCTGGGCCTGCTCTTTTATAACAACTCACTCTCATGGGAAATCACCAGAGTTCCTTAAGAACTACCTCCATTTCTGTTAAAGGCGTTGCTCCCAAAAACCTAATCTCCCTCTAGTTCCTCCCATCTGATATATGGTACCACGCTGGGCCAACCCATGAGCCCCTGGGGGACAGACCACACCCAAGCCACAGTAGGATGCCTCCTGGGGGTTGTGAGTGCCCAGGAGGCACTGTTCTCAAGTGGTTGTGCATCACAAGTAAGGAAGCTGCTCCATTAATGATTTCACTTTGGAGTCTTATTCTCATATCCCCTTTCCTGATCTTACATTGCTGTGGATACTAATTCTAGGTGAGAGCAAGACCCCAATGTATTACCAAGTTTTCAAGTTATGTTTCTGAGGAATTTAGTGATCATTGACTTTTATATGTGAAACCATGTCCTCACTGTGCAGACTTTGGAAATGATTTCTCCATTATAGGGAACAACAAGTAGAAATACTTTGAACTTGGCTGGAGAAAAGTCCAGTTTCCCTGTCTCCTTGCCTGCCTTGGATTCTTGAATCTTCTTGTTCAGACTGTTTTTATTGCGATATCTCTGGGTGTAACTGGCATGTTGGATGGGAAAGGAAAGGTTGTTGGTGGGTGATCAGTACTTAAAAAAGAGAGGAAAATCAAAATAAGGCAGTTCTGTTCAGCACTGTCCCTGCCTTTGCCCTCTCCCCTGAAGGCGTGTGTTCCCTGTACCTTCTTTACTGGGAACATCCGGGCCATAATTTGTTAAAATCAGGTCTGCAGAAACTTATCTAGACATTGTTCTTACCACATCGTTGCAACCACTAGTCCTTTGCACTTGGCCAGTTTTAGAGGTTTTGGTTCAGACTCTCAAGGTTTGAGAGTGAATTCACTGGGAAGAGAAAGTCCTAAGAAGTGGCCTGATAATATCAGAATTCTAGGAAGGGCTTTCAGAAGCATGGTATTGCAGCATTTATCTTATTCCCAGCACAGCAAGGTCAGCCAACTGTAGAGGATGCACGGCTGTGTTCTTGATGAGGACACCATTGGCATTTTGAGGAGGGACAGTTCTTCATTGTTTGGGACTTTCCCTAGAATTACAGGATGTTCAGCTTCCCTTTTCTTTGTAACAGTGACAAGCAGAAATGCCTAATGTATGCTTCCAGTTGTCCCCAGAGGGACATAACTGCCCCAGTTGAAAGACCCACCTCAGTTAACATTAAAAGTATTGACAGTTGAGAATGTGAGTAAATTAGAAGTAAGGGGAAGATTCTGGAATCTCCTTTTTCCAGGTCTGTGGATAAGGTTGATGAATCTAATTTGAGTGTGTTTAAAGACAGAAAAGACCAGAAGGTCCTATTGTAGGTTAGTCATTTTCTTTTCTTAAGACCTGGTACATGAAACCTCATTTTGGGTCTTTCTGGATGACCTAGACACCTGGAACAGTTTGGCTTTGAGGACACCATCGAGTCTCTGCAGATTTCTGTGTCCCCTAACAGGGATAAATACAAAGACATTGTGTCAGAGTGATTCTGAAGCTCTGGTCACCTCTCAGATCCTTCAGCTGAGATATTTTATCCAGATTCCTTTCCCATGCAGCCACAGCTTGCTGACAGGTGTCTTTGAAGGAGGAAAGAAAGATTACTGGAATACAGAATAGGCAGGGAAGGCATCTTAAATCTATGAAAATTGGATGAACAGAATCACAGAGAATTTTCTGTAACAGAGAGCAGGCTTATTAACCACAGCATCAGGGGAAGGAGGAAGAGGTGGAAATAATTGAAAGATTAATGATGGCAAGAATGTAATGACTTTAATGTCAGAAGGGCCTAATTTGCCCCATAGCAAGTTTAGCTTTGAGAAACCCCGTGGCTTCTTGCAATGTCTATGATTGCTGCCCTCTGCAGGCCAAAAGTGGTTAGGCAGCCTGCTACCCAGCCAGCACTACCTGAGCTTCACCTTGGTCTGGCTCTGCATCTAATTTCTCATCTTAACTGATGGATAACTTCCCATGCATCCTCCTTCCTTTTGTCCATTTGTCCTTCTCCTCCCCTTTACTTCCCTTAATTTTTATTAGGATGAGAGCTCTGAATGGTTTTTCATTTTGTTTTGGAGGATTGCCTTTTAGAAAATTATTTTTATTGTTTATACCGCGGAGAAAGAAAAAAAAATCACCCACAGTCCTGCTGCCTTCCTGAGCATCCCCACCCATTCCTGGTGTGTATGCAGATATAACCATTATGCACAGTTGTCATCATTTTAGCAACAACAAAACACTGTTCTTGAGGAGAGAGATTTTCTCCCAGTCTCCCTGCCTCTTGGCTCCTGTTAACCCGAGGAGAGGAAACAGTGCCCATCGCGGACATGCTGGCTCACCCTCTTCCTGGCAGATGCTGACACCTTGCTTCCAGGGCAGCACCCCAGCCCCCTAGCTTTGTTAGTGGGGGAAATGTGATCACCCTGGGAAAGGTCCAGCCCTCAGCCCCAGGTTGGTCTCAGCATTCTATTCGCAGCCCGCTTGGCCCTGAGGTGGGTCCCACTGACAGAGAAAGTGAATGAAAACCATTGAAACCCAAAGGCCATCGAGTAATCATGTTTGGTGTTTTATTTCTAGCCTCAGTACCATCCTAGTGTCCACCCAAGCCAGCCTCGGTGGCACCCTCACTCTCCAAATGTCAGGTAAGTGCTCGTGGCCACAGACTGGGCTTTGGGAAGTTCTCCTTTCTCCAGAAAAGTCCCCACTCAGTGCTGAATTGGAAACCTGTGGCAGAAACAGCTGTGAAGGGTTGTGCTGCTGTGACAGAGATGAATCATTTTCATATTGAAGGAAGCCAGCCATGAGTCTTTGTGAAGTAAAAGTGAAATTTTTAAATCATTCTGACCTCAGATATTTTTGGTTTTATATCAAAATTGTTACTTTAAAATTTTCCCTTCTAAGTACTATCCAGGCCCGACCCTGCTTAGCTTCCGAGATCAGACGAAAATGGGTGTGTTGATACTTAAAATTTCCAAGTAACATTTTCCTGTCCTGAAAATTTGTTTCTTAAAATGTGATGAAAGCTTCGTGGTGAGGTTTTTTTTTTTTTTTTTTTTTTTGGTGTTTTTTTTTTTTTAATCTTTTTTTTAAAGGATGGGGGCAGCATTTATTTGGGTAATAATGGATTTTTTCCCCCTAAACCCAGAGGTAGGTAAGCTTTTTCTGAAAAGATAGTCAATATTTTTGGCTTTGTGATCACTGTCACAACTACTCCATATTGTCATGGTTGTCTGAAAACAACTTTAGATGATACATAAATAAGAGGGCTTGGCTCTGTGCCAGTGAGGCTTATCTACAAAAACAGAAGGATTTGGCCCTAGGGCTATTGTTGTTTAACAACCCCTGCCCTAACCTGCACAGTCCTTGCTGAGTGAACTGGTTATCTGCTGTGCTGTGTTTATAATTAGCCCTGTAGTTTTCTATGGCCAGCTCTAGGAAAGGAAATCTGCCTCTAAAATCTGCATTTTAGATCAGTCTTAAATGGTGTTTATGTGTCAAGTTATCTCAGCAACAGAGTTGATGGATTCACTTTGCAAGAAGGTGAGGTCTGAGCTCCTTCAGAAACTAGGGAGAACTGAGTGATGGAAATAAATCCACCGAGAGCAAGTTCAGTAAGTTTATTGGGTATCATATATCACAGGAGTACAATTTCATTAGCATAAATGTTATGATATTCATATAACTCTTTAAATCAAGTTACATTAGTGGAGTGACAATTTCAGATCTTTCACTGTTTTATTTATTTTGTAGAAAGGTGGGATGTTTTTGTTTTTGTTTTTCAGTACTAGGTATTAAACCCAAGGCCTGACACAGGCTAGTCAAGCACTCTACCCCTGAACTACATCTCTGGCCCTGTTTCTTATTTTGTCTTGAGATGGTCTTGCAAAATTGCCCAGGCTGACCTTGAACTGGGTGATCCTCCTGCCTTGGTCTCCTGAATAACCGGGATTATAGTCATGCACCACCACACCTGGCCAGAATTTTATTTTATTAACACTACTTTTACAAGATTTTATATCCAGTATTGTCTATTTTGTTTTATTCTGAGGCATGCTCTACCCAGCTTTCACAAGGGATCCAACAGAGCCCTTCTCCAGTGGCACGATGACTGGCAGCTTTAGCATCCCTGGGGAACTTGTTAGAAATGCCTGTTCTCAGCCCTGCATCAGAATCTCTGGGATGGGACCCAGCATTTTGTGTGTTCTCAAGCTCCCTTGTGATGCAGAGATACCCCATGAAAAGAGAGTTCACTGGTTTGACACTTCTGACAAAGGCTCCCCAAGGCGTTCACCTTGCACATAAGTATGATAAAGGAAACTTCCCATCTTCCTTGCCTTGCCCCAGGCTGACTTGACCATGAGACACCTTTGAGAAATGATAACTGGGCCACAGACAGAACTTTGCTAGATGGGGAAGCTGGTGATCTGTATCAGAGTTTTAAAAATACAAAAGTAGACAATCCATTCGTTCCAGGTGTCAGCCACCCCCATTCACTGTCTTCCCTGCCATTTCCCCTGCACTTGTGTTGTCCCACTCACTTCTTAATGTTCTTCCATTGTCCCACTAACCATTCGCTCTGCAAACAAAACAGGCCGTCCTTTCAGGATGACAAGTCGCACTGGAAAGCCCCGGCCAGTGGAGAGGACAGCCATTTTGACTATGTGCACGACCAGAACCAGAAGAATTTAGGAGGGGCGCACAGTGGGACGTATCGGGACAGACTCATGACTGCACTTTGAAAGACCCAAGCGTCTGACTTCCAATCGCCACCGTAGTGTCATTGCATTCCATGAGAAGCGTCTGGGCATCACATGGATGTGTGTGTGCGAGAGGCTTTAAGAGATAGCTCTCAGAGGTGTTTTCAGTATCCATGTAAATATTTGAAGATAGCCACAGTAGCTAGTCATAATTTACTGTTAACTGCATTCTCAGTAAAATGAAGGTAGTTAAAGGCTCAGGAATCATTTTGATATTCTGATTTTAAAATCAGAGTAAAAGTCTTTGTTTATCATCTTGCTACATACCTGATATTCTTTGTTATTTAATTAACGGGAGCAAATAAAACCAAAAAGGCTTAGGAAGATAGCTGGGTATACAGTGCTATTGCAAAGACTGAAATCGGAGTCCATCTTGGGTGCATTTACCCCCTTGTTCGCCTCATTTCCCCACCTTTAAATAATGGATTGGACCTAGTCCTTTCTGACTCTAAAACTCTGTGGTTTATTAAAATTTAAATTATTTTAGGCTAAGGACATATATTCAAACTACTCATTAAGGAAGACTGCAACATCCCCTTCTTTGACAGAAATTTAATAAAGTATAACTTAATAGACATTATATAAATACTAGACTTTGACTTTCATATCTTAGAGCAGTTTAGCAACTTTGAATTTCAGCCTTAGTACTAATCATGAATCACAGAGCATCCGTTTTGATAGAATTTACTGCTCAAGTATAATTTTTAATGTCTCGATGATTGGTGCTGCTAACTTGTGTGATTTCAGAAGGCACCGTTGTGAATACACACTGTCAGAATTAGGGGTTGGATTTTACGCTAAACTCACTCCACTGGAAAGCAACAGGCAGTTGATGCACTTAGGGCTTGAGTGAAATCCTGTAGGGTTTGAAGGAGGTCGTGCCAAAGCATTCTGTAGCACAGGTAGGATGGGCACGACCCCATTCTTTTTGTAGAACCAGAAAACAATGTGTTGTCTTTTATGGTGAAACTTGTACCAAATTATTTATTTCCGCCATGTTAAGTCATGAGTCAAACATTTTTTCCTCTTAGTAGCCTGAGATAACTTTTTTATTAGTGTTTTTGTGATATCAGATCATTATTGTACCACTTTTATGTGTATAATTATAATTTGGCCCATTTTAAGTCCTTAAAAATATATTGACTTCCTTTGAGATATTTTATTGCTAAAATCAATCTTTTTTGGAGGGAATCAGGACCATCCCTGCGCAATGGAATTGAGCACCTACAGACTCCCCGAGATCTTTGTTTACAGGTGTATTCCATTTTAGAAAATGTTTTAATCCTCAGTGTATGTGCTGCATCCAAATAAATGTGTTCCGAATCTTTTCATCTCACTGGTAACATTTTTACAAGTGTGTTTCTGAGGAATAAAGATTATTCTTGCTTTTTTTGGACTCCATCTTCATTTTGTTGCTTCTTGCTTCTGCCCAGAAGTTTCATTTGCAGATGATCTTGGCAATGGGACAGTGGCTTTTGGAGGTCTGAAGGTGAGCATTCAGTCAGGTGGCATGGAGCGAGAGTAGCTCGTCTTGTAGGCACAGTGGCTGAGGCATTTCTTCATTGGGGATGACTCTGGTGAAGCTGCAGTCCCTGGTCACATGAGCTAGGCAGAATGAAGTGATGGCCGTGGAATTTCGTGGTGACAGTCCTGTGGTGAGGGTGGATGTTTACCTTGGCTGCTTTGCTCTTCCTGGCTGGAAGACATCCACACCTGTGTCTGTGGCTTCCCGGAGATTGTATATACCAGTGGTGGTGAACCTATGGCACGCATGTTACTGTGTTTTTCTTTTAAACAAAAGATGTTAATGTGTGAGTTTTTTCTAAACTAAAACCTCATTCAGGTTAAATTGTAGTGTTGGCGCTTTGTGATAAATAGTGGGTTTGGGTCTGCAGTTTGGGCACTCGGTCTGTCACAGTTTGCCATCACTGGTATACACTATCACATACCCTCTAATAAATACCTGTCTATTTAAAGTAACTGAATACTTTGGCTTGTCTTCAACCAAGACATCTAATCAGTATGCACAATTATGGCATCCTAATTGTTAAAATTATGTATACTTTTCATTCCTGGGTAGTCCTTTATCTGCTACGTTTGACACCTTTGTTCTTAACAGCGTCCTCTTCTGCCATCCTGTTAAACATTGTTAAACATTTTCCAAGGGTCTTTCCTCTGCCCACTGCTTTTCTCTCTTAACACAGTCTACTGGAGCCTCCTCATTTTGTCATGACCGTAGTACTGTTGACTCTGAAGCTCATTGCCTCTAACATACTCATAAGCGTTCTCAGACTGACATTTCAATTTGGGCATCCTGTGTACACAAAACTTCACACAGTATAAAGCAAATTTAATCTTCTTTTACCACCACCCAGAAAACCCACTTTCCTCCTACCTGCATTCTCTCTCTCTCTCTCTCACTGATAGTAAGAATTTATACATCATCCACAGGGCTTTCCCGTTTGCTACCCATCTTCTGGCAATCCACAGGACTGTTCATTCAGAGAATGTACTCTGCATTCGTAGTACTCAGATGAGCCCTTCCCTTGTCTTCTCTCCAACAGTGATCTTGCAGAAGCATCTTTCCTCTTACTGAGTGAGAGGTGCCCTTGCTGATCTCCCTGATTCCTGACCAGCTCATTCTCACAGCCACAGGGGTGATCTTTCTAAAACACCATCTGATCGTGCCATTCCAATGATGAAATCCCAGGCCCTCTTTCTGGAATCCCTCCTCTGCATCTGTCCTCTTTGCTCTAGCACAGTGGTGGCAGACCTGTGGCACACATGTTTCTTAAAGACAAGAAATATTAATGTATGAGTTTTTTCTAAATTAAACCTCATTCATGTTTTATTGCAGTGTTAGCACTTTGTGACAAATAAGTGGG